TTCTTGATTGCTGCCACCATCCCAGGTGCCCATTTCGACCAGGTCCTCGTCTGCACCAACCGTCGCTGTAGGTCCGCCTCCATCTCTTGATGGCCTTGACCCTTAAGTCCATGAAGCTCCCCCATGCCGGGCAGATTGGTCGCCAGCGTAGTTGGTTTCCTCCGGGGATGGCCAGCTGCCCCTTGATCTAGGTCCACCAAGATCATGCCATGATCCCGACAGAACTCGCGCACCTCCTCGAAGTTCCAGAACGAGGGGATGTCAAGCTCCTCTGCCTTTGGATCGTACTTGGCCGGGTCCATCGGAGACTCCCCCAGGAACCCAACCGGTTTTTCTCTCCTCCATGAAGAGTCCTCGGCGATCAACCACAAAGCCATCTGCTTGAAGAACAGTGCCGTGTCTCCATTGACCTTCCTTTTGTCCTCTATGGACAAGCCAGACAGTCCATACCGACGTTGGTCCCGGCCCCTCAATGGCTTCGGTCCTGGTTGATTGTGCCGCAACCTGGAAATAGTCCGGCATGGTGGTCCGCCGATCACGGCCCGAATCAGTCCTTTCTTCCCAAGGTACCAAAGGTATCCCCACAAGGCCGCATCATGAAGGTTCTGCCTCGCATTCTCCTCCATGTCTATCGTGATGACCTCGTAGCCTCTCCAATCTTCCCTTCTCCATTCCTTGGCATCCCTTCCGGCGAAGAGGTGAACCACCAGCCCCTTGCTTCTTTCCCATCTTCTTCTCAAGCTCCTGTTGAAAGGGCTCCGAGCGGCGGCTTCTGCTCCGTCCTCTACTCGGCCCATGAGCTCCAGCACCTCCTCCGGAAGATGCGGGAAATGCCGCAACCACCAATCCCGATCCTGGGTTACCACCGCGCTCCCGCCCGGGGCATCCAGGTAATCCATCAACTTCATCGCCGCTGACCGTTTCATGACCGGGCACCCATGACGAAGCCAACAATGAAGCCGACCGTGTCCAGGGTGATCGATGATGCAGCCCTTGGCATTCCACTTGACCACAAAGCCGGCGTCGACCAACATCCTCAGTGGTATGATGGGCTCCACCGGATCCAGCGTCAACAGGGCCGACGTGCCAGGGTGCTTGTACAACACCGTGCTTCCGCAGGCCAACTCCACTTCCACTGCCGTTAGATCGCCTCTTTCGTGCGACCTTGCCTGCCTCAAGGCATGCGTTGCCCCTCCGTCCAGGAGGGCAACTGGCTCCACCTCCTCAGCTCCAGCCTGTCTCTTGGCTGCCTCATACTTGATCTGGAGGGCCTTCATCGATCTCAATGATTTCAGCAAGCCCGCCACTTCCGACATCAACCCAGCTGCCTCCGCAGCATCTTGCGGCGGCTTAGGTGTTCCTCCACCCATGTCCACCGAATTCGGCGGTGCGGTGCTGGGAATCCGACCGGTGACCTCCCGGGACGCCTCCTCCGCGGAGCCCGGTGAGCCAGCCTGTCGGGCCCCTTCACCGCCTGCGCCAGAGCCTTCTCCCGAAGACCTTGCATCCTTCTGCTTCTCGAACTTGGACACCTTGGGAGGGGCCGTTGCTGTCGTCTTGCTCGTGCCCCAGTCCCATTTCTTGACCGGGCAATCCCGCTTCGAGTGGCCCACCCCAGAGCATCCGAAGCACCGGTTGTTCTTCTCCAAGCCATCCCACGAATGGGCGTAGCTGCAACTGCCGCCCTTCTTGCATCCTCCATCTGTGCCCCAAAACCTGCATGGTGCCCCGAATGACCTTTTCTTCTGGTCTCCCGTCTCTGCAACCGGATCCTTGGCTCCAGAAGTCGCCAGGGCCTTGAGTCCCGCCGCTGGCTGAGTTGGATTGGCCGCGTTGGTCGTGGATGAGGTTTTCAGGGCTGTTGCAAGTGAGAGTTCTTCCGCCTCCGCCTGCAAATACTCCGAGAACTGCTTGATCTTCGCGAGATGAGGGCGAACATCAACTTGAAGTTCTTGGCGAACCGAGGAGATCCGAAAGCTGGCTTGAGCACCCGCTTTCCCGACTGCTTCCGCAATCTTGTTCAGGACCGTCAGCAACACCAAACCATCTGGTAGTGCCACCTCCAACTCCTCTGCCCTCGCCAACCATCTCCTCCACAGCCTCAACGTCTGCAGGGCCTCCGTCAACGTGTTCCCCACCTTCGGATCTGCCAGGTTCTTGAGCAGGTTGCCTCTCTCCGACGTCCCACCCGGCTGATATATCTGGTGAAGGCGAAACATGATCTCCGTGGCCGACATCTTCCTTGCCGAGATGATTTCTCTGCGGATTGGGTCAGGCAGTGCAGCAAGTAGCATGGAAAGCCCCCGTTGCTCCACCCGGTGATTGTGGACATGTTTCTCCCCCAACGAAGGCTTCAGCCTCAGCTTCTCCAAGGGGGTTGCAATCAGCCACTCCGTGTAGGTGGATTCTGCTCGTTGAAGAACATCCTTCCACCACTCTTGAGCTGAACCTGCAATGTCCGCCATCAACGGCCCGATCACCGTCACCCAATCTCCAAAGGTCAACGCTGCCAGATCTCCTCCAGGGGGAGGCAGACTAGGCAACTCCAAATTCCTCAGAGCCTCCGACAAGTGAGATGGAGCACTCGGCTTATTGTCGTCCAATCCCCTCGGAGGTGGCGGTGGTGGTGGAGGTGGCTGAGGTCGATTTCCTTCATCATGAAGCGGTGGAGGACCAAGACCTCCAACGACTCCTCCTTCTGATGCCGTCCTGTAGGAAACATCGTCCCTCGTTCTTGCCGCCTGCAATCTCGCCACTTCTCTTTCGAAGATCTCCTCCGCGTCCCTCATCACCCGTAGTCGCAGAGCTTCAAGATCTTCTTCTTGTCCTTGTAGTCGTCCTCGGTCTTCGGTAGTCGCCCTGCCAGCAGACACAGGTTGTGCTTGGGCGGCCCTTCTTTGAACCTCAGGGCTCCAAAACGGGTTCACCCCGCCACCTGCTGGTGCATCTCCCGGACCATAGGGACCTCTCCGATTTCCACTCAAAGTCTCCCGACCATCATAGGGCTCCAACTGCCTCGGCCTGACTTCCCATTCCTGGCCTTGACCTTGATGAGCCGTTAGTTCCCGACTAGCTGAAGGACGCCCGTCAGGTTGTCCACGCAGTTGACCATGCCCTTCAGGTTCTCCCGAATCATGACCATGCCTTACTCCCGGATGTCCTTGGTCTTCTCCACCAGCCAGGAATTGCCCTTGGGGTACTACAGCATCGTGCCCGCCGTGCGCCCCAGACCGTCCTCGGATTTCCTGAGGTAGCCCGCTTGGCCCAGGTCCTTCGCCAGACCCACGCCCTCGAGACCCACCAGGATGGAATTGACCCCCACCCCGATCTTGAATTGGTTCACCTGGCCGTTCCAGAATCCGCTCCTGTTGGCCGGGTTGTTCTCCTTGTCCAGGGGGACCCCGTAGAGCTCCTTGCCCGCGGCGTCCATCTTCGGCCAGATCCGGCCCCAGCCCGGGAGGGGGAAAAACATCCCTTCCGCCCCTAGGCTCACTCCGTTCCGGACCGGTGACCCGGCGAATCCCCCGCCGGTCCTCCAGATCCTCCGACCTCGCCCTCCGCGATGCCCGTTCCTCCTCCTGCACCCGCTCCATGATGAGGCGGTCCAAGGCCTCATCTGCGGTCTCCCCATCTCGTACCACTTCTCGCCGGCGCCTGCGAATCATGGCTTTACCTCAGAGAGTTTGGGCTCATAACCTATGGTTATGTCTATGCAAAAGATCGCGCTTTTTCCAGCGCTTGAGCCAATGGCCGTCGCCATTGAATGGTTCCGTGTGCATCATGTTTCTGTTGAACATGCACAGATTTAAAGCGCTCATGTTTGTCCTGAAAGCATCGCGAATGGTTCTTCCCAAAAGCTTGCCTGCCAACTCGCAGGAGCACACTTGCACGAGCCCGCTTTCGCGAGCAAACTCGCACGGGCACACTTGCACGAGCAAATTGCACGAGCACACTTGACGAGCAAACTCACACGAGCACATTTGCACGAGAACACTTCCGCGAGCAAACTGCACGAGCACTTTCATGAGCAAACTTGCACGAGCGCACTTGCACAAGCAAACTCGCACAAGAACACTTCCGCGAGCACACTTGTGCGAGCCTACTTGCAGAAGCAATCTTGCGCGAACATACTTGCGCGAGCACACTTGCGCAAGCACACTTGCCCGAGCCAAACTCGCGCAAGCATACTTGCGCGAAAACAACTTTTGCGATCACACTTGCGCCAGAAAGCCAGCGCGATTATATCAAGAGTACACATTCTTTTTAGCGGCGCGGTGGGACCGAGCCCCCCTGCAAAAGTGATACCTTTTGGAGGGATGGCGTGTGCGACCCTCTGCGTGGATTGGCGTGGTTGATGCGCAAGAACGTACGACTTTTTCGACTGCTAGCATGCCCCGCGACCCTCTGCGGGATTGGTGTGGCCGATGTGCAAACGCTCACGACTTGTGCTACTTTTTGCGGTACGCGTGCGGCCCTCTGCCGGAATCGGCGAGGTCGATTTGCAAAATTTGGCGACATGCCAACGCGACCCTCGGCGGGGATCGGCGCGGTTGATGTTAGAAAGCTGCAGGGTTTCGCAACGCTTGGCAGCGCTTGCGTTGAGTGCGACCCCATTGCAAAGAGACAGTTGCACAGAGACTTTGCGCAAAGATCAAAGAAACTTGCGCAGAAAACTTGCGCAGAGCGCTTGGAGTACATAAATTCGAGACGAGAACTTGCGCAGAGAAACTTGCGCAGATAACTTGCGCAGACAGCTTGCGCAGAGAAACTTGCGTCGAGGCCTTGCGTAGGCGAGATTGCGCAGCGAAACTAGCGCAGAGAAGTTTGAATGTAGATCACTATAGGAGAGACCACTAGGGCAGAAAACATGCCTCGCTCACTATATGTTATGCTTACGGCCCCGTTCTTCTAGTTTGTTTTTCCACAAGGGGCTATAGAATAGCGTGCAGGTGTCCAAGTCCAAATTGAACGCTTCAAAGTGCAAGTTTGAACGCGGCACGATGCTGAGCCTCCCGGTCTGTCTCAATTGTAGAATACTTGTTTATCATTGCCTGCGTGATTCCAAGGTTGTGTTATTGTATTGGTAGTTGGGTTGGTTGGTTGGTTTGGTCTGGTTTGCTCGATTGGTTGTTTGTAGAAACCGCGGCTTCCCCTGTCGCAGGCGGAGCGCATCCCGGTTACGGATATGGCTACCCGCCCTACGGCTACCCAGGCCGACGGGCGACACCCTGGCCTGGATCCTCCCCATTGGTTGAAGGGAAGCTAACAGGAAAACCACAATCCTGCGGTAATGTTGGACCCTTTCATGGGCTCCCCTCCCCTGACCAGTGGGAACAGTCGGCGACCCTCTTTTAGTGAGATTGTTGGGGGTCTTGGACTTGGACTTTCCAGTACTTATTTTAGTATTGCCAATTCCACTTTAGTACTGCCAAGGCTGACTCTTAGATCGCCAGTACTTACTTTAGTATTGCCGATTTTAAGTTTAATATTGCCAAGACTAATTAGCTCTCAAAATGCCAGTACTTAATGTAGAATTGCCAATTCTGAATTTCGGATTGCCAAGCCCGACCCACATTCCCACTACTTGATTTAGTACTTGTATTGCCAGTTCTAATTCAGCAGGGAAGAGCCCGTTTTTTCAGCAACCCCCAAAATTGTTGGAGATTAAAGAGGACCCCAAAGCAGTCACAATAAAGAGGATCAGGGCCTCTTGTGGGCAACTCCCTTTGTGTGACTGTTTGCCCTTACTCTTTTGTAAAGAAGTTATATTAAATTTGATGAACAAATACAGTTCTAATGTTGGCCCGGATTTGTTTGCCCGTTTTTGGCCAGCTGCTTTGTGCCCGGATTTGTGTCCCGGATTTGTTTTCCGGCAAACAAACTGTTTATAATAGAGGACCCCAAAACAGCCACTGGATCCTGAATTAGGGAACCCATCTTTGTTGCTTTCTATTAGAAGAACAACAGTCATCTTACGGGCACTCTAGAATGTTGAGGGTACGCGTTTAAAGATAGGTCGGAAGGACAACGATGAGTTTAGTGAGTCCACATCCCTATTTCGACAAATACCTTTGCCTATTGTGCGGCGAGCAAAAACTATTATGATGTCGGCCCCTTGCGTGCTCATCCCTTATTTCGGGTTTTGCTATTCTTTTGCAATCTGCTGGAGGCATTGGCTACCCCACCACATGGAATCTGAAGACAACTTTTCCTTGGAGTCTCTCCGTCCAAGTGGGTTTGTGTCAAAACGACGGAACTAGGAGCTTCTTTGGACCGATTGTATGAGGAGGCCAACATGAAACCCAGCTTAGCCCCCTATTTGCACTACATCCCTTCTTCTCATGGCGTGCAAGGCTACGCCTACCAGCCGCCGCCGCCGCCAGCCTATGGCTATCAGGCGCAATCAATGTTGGACCTCTTGCACCAAATCTGAACCAGAATCTAAGCATGCTACATGCAGGCTTGGTTGACGCAGTTGCAACACCTAGATTAGTCTCCAAAAGCGAATCCCCTAAGATAGGGTCATTCCCTTGGGGTTCCCCTCAAAAGGACCCAAACTGTGGTACCCCTGAACAAACAGAGGCACCCAGGAAGAACACTCCTTGCCATGATCGTTTTATCTTGACAGGCTCAAAGCAACCAGGGTGCAGGAAGCTCTCTTTGCCCCATCTGGATCATGCCCAAAGTGCACGGAGCTCAGAAAGCCAATGTCTTGAACTTTTGAGTCTCTTACTGCTCCTCCCAGAAAGACTCGGCTAATGGGACTTTGCCCAACAAGAAACCTGAACAACCGCCATGTACCCTGCACCCACAAAACGGATTTGGGCAAACGAGGCGGCAGACAATGTACTTGATTGAATGGGATGTTTAGTCACGCAAAGAACATCCTAACCGGTATGGAGATTTCACCGAAGCACTGGCGAACGCCGCGTTCAGAAATTGCGCACATGGCAGACGTTACGGACATCATTTTGGCAACTTGCTGCTGGAAGTCTCCCAGTTGTACACTGGTGGCTGCAGCTTCTTCTTGGACATCATCCAAATTGGATGGCTGGAACACAAGAACTTGCTCCAGAACTCCACAAATCGTCGCGCCATGGTGGCCAGCTTCCCATCCCTTTTCCACTGTGCCAAAGGTACCATGATCTGCCAACGAAGGAATGCGTGGGCGTGAACGTACCGTGGTTTGCAATCATGCTAGCTCCAGCCGCGAACAACGTCACGCTTGCTGAGGTTTAACAGTTTTGCATGTTCAAGCCACCACTTGTCGGGGGCTTACTTTGAGGCTTACCCATCTCTGTGGTAAGGGTCGGGCCTGGCCGGTCGACTCGTAGCGCATGCTTTCCATGTTGCCCCGGCTGCATCGCAGGGCTACGGCTACCCGAACTACGCTGCAGGCGAGCAAGTTGGAGAGAATGTCAGATGCAGAAGACTGGCAGGAGTGCTTCTTGCTCTGTTTGGAGGAACTCAAAGCCGATCTTATGTTTAGGGATTTTAGGGTTTGATCAGTGAGCTCGCAAGAGCGCAGGTTATGGTGCCTACCCGCCCTCGGGCACGAACGATCACCCGGTTCTGGCGCTCAGGGACTCGGGTGTCTCGCATATTGGGCGAACTGCATTCGAAACTTGTACCGTTACCTCCAAGGCAATGATCAGATAAGCAGAATGACAGGGTCAATGGGGCTATGGTTGACCGGAACCTTCCACATCAAGTCTGCCGGCTGCAGCGAGTTTTCGCAAGGGGCCCAACTCCGAGTGAGAGTTTGGGTGTTTCCAAAAAGGGGAGATTCCCAATTTGGTTGCTTCTATTTCGTTTCCCTTGAGACATCCGAAATTGAAAGACATGCTTTGTGTTGGTGGCTTAAGCATCAACCTAGTGTTGCCAGTTTAAAGACTTTTTGCTTTGGGGTGATACTGAAAGAGGCACATGAGAAGCCGGTTTTAGCATGTTTACTTAGTGACTCAGCCTACAAGTTCCCTCTGCCAGTGCCAAGTTTTTGTTGGGCAGAAGTTGCTTGGCCACAGCAGGTACAACCAATGCCTGCACCCGCATGCGGATTGGTTTTGGTAGGGGTTGTACATTTGCACCGGAGCCATTGCAGCCAACTTGGTAGATGAATGGCTTTCAGCTCTGCTTAGTTGGCGAGGCCTTGGCGGGTAGAGGTTTCGTCTTGAAGTCCCAAGCGGACTGTTTGGATTTCGACTTTCGCGGTCATTCCCTTGTGCGTAGCTTGGATGGGGCTGGCTAAGGCGCCTTACTGAGGATCTATTGCGAAGCGAAAAAGCTGGCTTTTGCGCGCAGAGATATTGCGCTGAATACTATCATCCAAATTAGATTTCCTTGCATGAAGACTCGTGTGGCACAAGGAAAGCCAAATGATTCGCGATTCCACGGAGAGAGCCAGGAGAAGTTTGCCCCATGTACTGCCAAACTCCTGGGAATAGTGACAAACCTGAACGGCTCTCTCATTGAAGTGTTCCCATGCTGCACAAGTTTCAATGAAAGTTCTTCCAGCGCTTCCCAAGCACAGCTTCTTTGGTCCAATTGGACCCTACCTTGAACTCGTCGTTGGCGGTCCTTCGGCTCATGCCCCCGTAGCATTGCGGCCATGTGGGCTGTTGGCAGCTGGCCCAGAATTCAGCTTGCAGCCGGAACGCCTTTGCATACTTTTGAACAAGTGCTTGTTTTTGCGATGTTTCTTTGGTCGCCAATGGCAATCCTTTCTTGGAACCTGTTGGGAACGGAATTGATGCCATCAAAAAAGACTCGCTCGGACTTTCTACATGTTTCGTGCAGCGTTACATGGCATCCACAAAAACACCCCCCGAATTTGCGGGAAACGACCCTTGCATAATTCCCTTGTGAGGGCCGCCAAACATGTGCTTTAGAACTTTTCACCGAGATTTGGCTGGTCGACACTTGCTGAGTACCATGGTGCTTGGTGCTCTATTCTCTCGGCTGGGTGTTGTGCGCGCTGGCGGGAAAGATCATGTCCTTCGTCTTGACAAACTGAATTTTGGTGAGTATATGCATACATATATTTATATGTTTGTGCCTGTATGCGCGTGTGCATGCCATGTTGCTGACCATGTCCAACAGCATGCACACGTGCAACTTTGAAGCTCTGAACTCCTAAGCTGACCGAAGAGGAATCATTTATCTAGAAGAACGGCTTCGTCAGATTGGTTGGACGACTCTGCGTTTTTGAGTTCAAAGCTGAAGGTATATGGTGTCTGAGAAAACATGCTAGTATCCTAGGTTCTTGGTGTTTGGATCATTGCAGCCCCGAGTTTGACATGAGGCAGCAGGTTTTTCCTTGGTTTGCCTGCTTTAGTTGGGAAGTATCATCAAACACGAGCATCAACAGACCAGAGTTGAGCAGGTCCAAGGAGAGTGATATCGCATCATGTCCATGTGCCTAGTACGCATTTGTGTATGTATGATATGAGCAACTGTCAGTATTGACCATCACTCTTCGAGTGGAGCTGTAGTCACGGGGATGGCATGGCGCACACTCACCAAGACATGATATACAACAGGAGTTGCTCGCCGATATACAGCAGGAGTGTCTCGCCGCATTCCCCTCTCAGTTGGGCATAACAAAGTTGAACGTGGCTCCTAGCTCGTGAATATTGACCACAGATCAACAAGCCTGGCAGGCCCTCTCTACAACAGGGCAGCATGCCATGAGTCAACCTGGGGCTTGCTGATGACTCGGTTTCCATGACCTTGGGTCTGTCGCACACCTTCACTTCTGTCCTTCCCCATGATATTGTGGCGTCAACCGACTGGCCTTGCTTTCCTTTTTCAAGTTGGGAACTCTCCGTAAGACTTGGGATGCCAAAGGCGATAGCTGCAGCTAGTGATTCCCGATTGTCAATTCCCCCCACGCAGCGCTTAGGTCTGGTGATGTGCGCCTTCTTGGTGACAGGGCAGCCCTCGGAGACGAACCGAAACTTGCAGGCGAAAGTTCGCTGCTGTTTGCCCAATCTTTTGGCAGCTGCAAATATGGCAGGTTTCTGATTGTGTTTTGCGGGGGGGGGGCCTGCCTGTCCAGTGCGGCATGTCCCATAGCTCAGGAACAGCGCCCATAGAGGAGAACCCGGGCTGTCGGAAGAGATGCGTGTTGGTTGGCCAGGGCATACATATCCCAAGGGCCAAGGCAAAGAAATTTAATTGCAAAAACTGCGGGCTGCCCGCCTCAGCTGCACGCCTCGGCCAGCTCTCAACAGAACCACAAGAGCAATGCGAGTTTGAGCACATGCGAGGTCTGGGCTGAGCTGGTGGGTCGCAAAGTGGTTGCCAGGAACATGGACTCCGGCCGAAATGAGCTGTGGGCTGGGCCCAGGGGCTGGGGTTGGCGATTGCTGCGCGGGGCTTGCTTCGTGAAGCTGGGTGGCTGTGTTTCGGACAGACGATGCCTGGTGAAAGTGCCTGGCCCAGACCGGGCTGAATTGCGTTGGGCTGAGTCTGGGGGGCCAAGGCTGGGGAGGGGGCTTGCTTCAATGGACTTTGCGTGCCTTTTCGGCCGTAGTGTTTTTTGTTGGCAGTGAACACCAGGCTTGGCTACAAGAGAAGCCTGAATGAGGGCAAAAAGGGGATGTGGGCATGCCCGGCATGCCCTTCTTGAAGCGTTTTGCAACCTTTTGCAACCAAGGGCACGGTGCGAAATTGGGACCCTTTCAGAATTTCAGTTTTAACAGCCTTCAAATTAAATTAAATGATGATGTTTCAAGTGGGTTAAACTTGTTCAAACAGATTGGCCGCCTTGAGAGCGCATCATAGGAGCCTGTGGAGCCTTACCCGGTGCGCCCGAGATAGAGGTCAGATTGCCGGCCGCCGGAGACGTGGATGTTGTCCAACATGGATTTTGCATATTTGGACGTCACCCATTCTCGGTGGTGCTTTAAGGGTAACCTGTGTAGACGCACCATTTGAGCATTTGAAGTTCCCTCAAATTTAGGATGAAGTCTCCTTGTGCTCTCCGCTTGAAACTCCATGCTGGCTGGTGCTCAGGGAAGGGAAGTCACCAGAATAAGCCAGCACCGCTTTCCGTCGCCGCTCACATGAGATTGCGCTCTTGGCTTTCGCTGTACTCAGCACAACTCGCACACAGTTCCACCTGGCATGTTCGACAAGCTCGCCTTTCAGCAAGCCGGATCTCAGAGCCCGGGTCATTGGACTCGAGGCTTCGTCCAGGTACCGAGCTTCCCCTGCGATGCGGGGAGCATTCGGGAGCACTCGGCCAATGAGACAATCGCAGGCGCGGCAAGCATCTCAAATCCACGGAAGTGTCTTCTAAGATATTGTATTTTTGTATGTCCCCTGGACGTGGCAGCGATATCTTTAGGTTTATCTTTCAACGTCCAATTGGTCAGTGAAGCGTCTATCTCTATATATATATATATATATGTGCTGCATCGATGTTGTGCATACATATAGATATATATTATATACATATATACATACATACATGCATGCATGCATGCATGTATGTATGTGTATATATATACACATATATACATATATACATATATACATATATACATATATACATACATACATACATACATACATACATACATACATACATACATACATACATACATACATACATACATACATACATACATACATACATACATACATATATATATATATATACATCTTGCATGAATGTGTACATTGGCAGACATTGTTGGACCATGTTTAATTTCCCCCCCCCCCCGCCTCCCCCTCAACTTCAATCCAGTGCTCAGGGGTTTTGAACAGGGGTCTGGCAGGGAGCTTGGATGACTCACTTCCTGTTGGATTGCCAGAACTTATTTTAGTATTGCCTAGTCCAAGTTCAGTATTGCCAAGACTTACTCTAAGATTCCCAGTGCTTAGTTTGGTATTGCCTAGTTGAAATGTAGTTTCGCCAGGACTTCCGTTTAGGTTCCTCGTTGTACTTGGTTTTGTACTGCCTAGTCTAAATTGTGTATTGCCAAGACTTACTTTTAGATTCCCCGCGCTTGGTTCAGTATTACCTAGTCCAAGTTAGTACTACCAGGACTTACTCTTAGATTGCTGGTGCTTGGTAAAGGACATTAAACAAGACCCCTAAACAGTCATATTAAAGAGGATCACTGGCTCCCGTGGGCACCCCCCCTTTGTGTGGCTGATTGCGCTTGTTTATGTATATATATAGAAGTTATCTTAAATTTGATGGTTTGCGGACCACTTGACAAAAAATGACTTCCCAATGTTTGCCCGGATTGGTTCGCCCGGTTCGCCCGGTATTTTTTTTTGCCCGATCCGTTTTGCCCGGTTTTTTTGCCCGGAGAGTGTTCTTTCGGCAACAACAACTTGACATAAACCATGGTACCGAAACAGTGGGGGGTCGTTTTTAAGCCGAGGAAACTAATAAATGAGGGTAATTCACAGCCTGGGTGCCTGTGAGCGACTGTGTGGGTATGCGACTTGCTGGAGCCGCCGTTCGGATGGGGCGTAAATTCCGGTGTAACTGTCCACCAAAGGATCCCGAGTTTGCAGTTCACCTGATGCGTTCAGAAAAAGAAGAAGAAACAAAACACCTTGTAGCCTGTTGCTGTTCCTGGCTAAGCCATGGCTCCAATAGTCAATAGTTGATTTCCAAGCGCCTTGGGCAAGGATTTGGGGAACGATTCCCCCCCCCATACAGATACCAGTAGAGCCGGCGAAGCCGGTGGGCGGAAGTTTCAAATATATATAGACTATAGTTCTCTTTCTCTTTCTTTTCTTGATTCTTTTTCTCCGTCATTCTTCCTTTCTTCCTTTCTTTCCTTCCTTCCTCCCTTCTTTCCTTCTTTCTATCTGTCTTTTCTTTCTTTCTTTCGTTTGCTTGTCTATCTATCTTTCTCTACCTATCTATACCTAACTACCTATCTATCTATCTCTCGTGTTATCTATCTATCTGCTTATCTATCTATCTATCTCTCTATCTATCTTCTCTATCTATCTCTCTATCTCTCTATCTATTATATCTACCTATCTCTCTATCTCTCTATCTATCCATTTCTCTATATCCCTCTATCTCTGTCTCTCTCTTTCTATCCCTCTTTCTTTCTATCTTTCTATCTCTCTATCTCTCTGTCTTTCTATCTATCTCTTTCTCTATCTCTATCTCTATCTATCTATCTTCTATCTATCTATCTATCTATCTATCTATCTATCTATCTATCTATCTATCTATCTATCTATCTATCTATCTATCTATCTATCTATCTATCTATCTATCTATCTATCTATCTCTTTCTCTATCTCTTTCTATCTTGACTTCGCGTACTACTTTCGTACTTAAAAGTTGCGATTTTCGAGCCCCACTACGAAAGTGGACTTCACGTACTACTTTCGTACTTAAAAGTTGCGATTTTCAAGCCCCAGCTGCGAAAGTGGACTTCACGTACTACTTTCGTACTTAAAAGTTGCGATTTTCGAGCCCCAGCTACGAAAGTGGACTTCGCGTACTACTTTCGTACTTAAAAGTTGCGATTTTCAATCCCGGCGAAAGTGGACTTCGCGCACTACTTTCGTACTTAAAAGTTGCGATTTTCAAGCCCCAGCTGCGAAAGTTGACTTCGCTTACTACTTTCGCACTTAAAAGTTGCGATTTTCGAGCCCCGGCTGCGAAAGTTGACCTTGCAAAAGTGCTGCGCCTGCCACGAAATCTGTACTTGACCTCGCGAAAGCGCTGCGCCTGCCACGAAATCTGTACTTGACCTTGCGAAAGTGATGCGCCTGCCACGAATTTTGCACTTGACCTTGCGAAAGTGCCGCACCTGCCACGAATTCTGTACTTGACCTTGCGAAAGTGATGCCCCTGCCACGAAATCTGTTCCTGACCTCGCGAAAATGCTGCCCCTGCCACGAAATCTGCATGCGCCGCCTTGCGCGTCCGTGCCAATGGGATTTGCGATGCGTCCGTGTCAGAAGTAAGACAATGCCGCGCCTGTCACGAAATCTGCACTTGACCTTGCGAAAGTGATGCACCTGCCACGAAATCTGTACCCGACCTTGCCAAATGCCGCGCCTGCCACGAAATTTGAACCTTGCGAAAGTGTGCGCGTCCGTGCCAATGGTCCCGGCGCGAGCCCGTCCCGAGCCCGTCCCGAGCCCGTCCCGCACCCGTCGTCCGTCAGACGCCGCGACCGGGGTAGCTTGCAGCCAGCCGGAGAAGCCAAAACCCGCAGAGGGTTGCACTTTTTGCAGATTTCTATTCCCCCGCCACACGTATACGCACGTTTTCTCGCATGCATTCATTCTTTCTTCATCTCATCTTTGCGCAGAGCTACCTTTCAATTAGTTTCCGTAACTCGGAAGTTTCCTTCTAAACTTCCTTTGGGTACATACAACATGTATTCTGCGCGGGCACATCGTGCCCTGCAGTTCCCCCACGGCAGTTTACTTCTTTCTTACGGGGCACCACAAAGCACCAAGGCCTGCGGGGACTGTCAAGTGTCCAAGGCCACGTAGCACCACTTGCCCCATTGAGTCCCCTCACTTGACGCTTGAAAAAAAACACTGCAGATGGCCAGGTTGCCCGGAGGCCAGCGAGTGCTATGCCAGCAAGGCCCGGCAAGCGATACCCAAGAAGAGATTGGAATTTCGAATGAAGGTTCTTGGATTTGGGAGTTGCCTTGAGATTGGTTTCAGACATGCTCTTCGGAGCCCTGACGTACCAACCCGACCTTTCAATCCTTCCTTGTCGATGTCCGTTAGCCCGCTTCGAGGGCTGCTTGCAACCTTGCACTGCATGAAGGGTCTCAGAATACTGCCGCCTTCAGGCACCTGGTTAAGTTACGCATACAGCTTCCTGTGCGGCGGTCGATGAATTTCTTTGAGCCGTTTGCCCACATGACATGGAGGCTGATGCCCGCAGCACCGTAGTGGCTTGTGCAAAGCCAACTTGAGAAAGGTCCCTGCTGCAAGTTTTGGGCCAGCCATGGAGACGCAAAACAAGGTTCGCATCAGCTGCAAAGTACATGACTGGTTTTTTTGGGCATCCATTCGTCAGATGCATACCAGGGTTGCAACACCTGTTTAGCATTGTTTAGCAGGGGTTGACGGCGTCGCCGCCTTTCAATGGATTCTGGCCACGAGCGCAAGTATTCCGCTTTGCCCATGATGGCCCACATTTTTTCTTTGTTTTTCTTTTCGGTTTTGCATGTTTTTGGGGGTACAGCTTGTTGGGTGTGGCCTTTTAAAGGGCCACCAGTGACCGGCCACCCCGGGATTCCATGGATTCGCTTCCCTCAGACGATCTCCAGCTGCGGCGCCGACTCGCAGTGCTGCGCCCCGGCGGGGAAGCCCGGGTTGGACGGCCGGAGTTGTCCATAAGTCGGTTGGGCCACTCAGGGGTCCATCGCCCAAGCGAGGTCTGTCTACGTTCAGAGCAAAGGAAGCCGAGTGGAGGGGAATCCAAGCGGCTGAGGTGGTCCACAAGTGCAAATCTGGTGCAAGCTGCTTTGCCACCAGGAGGCGGGGGAGGATCTGAGAAGAGGTGGTCCCAGTCGCCACCAGACCTTCGAAGATGGACTCGCGTTTCCAGAAGTCCATGTGTCGAAGGTGTTGGAGTTGGCAAATTGCATCCAGTCAACACCCTCCCATGCTTTTCTGGTTTTGGCCGATTGCACAAATTTGGCCGATGTGCGTCTTGTGGTACCTTTCTATACCGATCAAGCCTGTGCTTCAGAAGATTTGTGATTCGGAGAGCATCATGGGCCCGCGGATTTGCTCGCGTACTTGCCTGGCTGGCCTTTCAGAAAGCTCGGAGATTTGGATTATTTTTGCAGGTTGAGGCATCTTTGCGGCTGGCAGAGAAGTATCCCAGTTTTCCTGCATCCATTACACTGGGTCGTCTTATTTGCATCTGGCAGATTCTTACCGAACCGCAGGACAAATCAGTTTTCTTCATGTTGATTCCCACCGCCTCACAGGCAAACATAGCCGTTTGCTCGGCGTCAAAAGTGCAAGCAAACCAGTGACGGTTTTTGCATTTGCTTCCCGAAATGCCTGCCTCCCCCTGTCTGGCCCTCAAACAACTGTTCATGGAGCAGGCAAAGGGCAAAGGTCAAGGATCATTCGACACCTTTCAGTGCGGCGCGTTGATGGGTTTGTTTTCTTGTCAGCTATGCATGGGCTTTCTCCTGCTAGGTTTTGCGGGCAGGTGTGCGCGCTTCGCGGCCCGCCCGAAGAAATCACGGGCTTTACAAAGGGCTGATGCGAAGTCATTTCAGAGTACACTTGTTCAGTTCGTTTGCTAGTATATGCATACAAAGAACATATATATTTTACACGTAGATAAATATGATTGCTCATTTCGCCTCATGTGTGGCCGCTACGAGACCGCGCAGCATGATACCACTGTGACTGTGCATAAAGTGTTGCAACTGCAGGTCTGCCCGCAGCATGTCAATTGCACGGGGGAAGATATCTTCCTGTGAAATAATCACTGCTTTTCATGTTTGGCTGCGCGCGTGGTGTCGTTGATTTTCCAAGGTGTGGACACACTATCGCTGCCAAAGCACCAAATCTTGAGCATTCACACAAATGTTGCTGTTGCCAACAGTAACAGTTCTTGCACAACTACTGCAAGGGCCACAGGCACCTACACAGGCCTGCAGGAGCGCACGTCGTCGCCAACTGCGCGCCCGCAGCCTCACGTCCACCTACACCGACACACACACACACACCCACACCCACACCCACACCCACACACCCACACACCCACACACCCACACACCCACACACCCACACACCCACACACCCACACACCCACACACCCACACACCCACACCCACCCGCGCGCGCGCGTGTGCGCGCGCTCGCCAGGATCGAAATTTGCATGCCCTGGGCGTGCTGCTGCGCACCCCTCATCAAGATCTGCCTCTCGCCCTCCTGCAGCGAGGCAAGTTGCCTGGGGTTGCCAGCAGTGAATTGGGTATTTGCTGTGTCCCCGCCCATTTTGTGTGTGGCGCCCGTGCTTTTTGGTGTACGGGTGCAAGAACCGGCCATCAACTGTTGATCTCAAAAGCAGGTGTTCCGGGATCCGAGGCTAAGGCTCTCAAAGTGTTGTTGTGGATCGACCAAATGCTGCAGCTAGGTGGGTATCCCAGCATGTACCCTATGCAGATTCACTGAGGGACATTTGGATGCAAATTGCGTGGTACTGGAACTAGTTGATCCCTTCTTTCGATTTATTTACGGACCCCGAACCGTAAAGTCCCTTCCAGCGGACGCCAACGATTGCCAATTCTAATTTTACATTACCCAACACGAAACCAATACTAAGCTCTCCAGAAACCAGATGAACTCAGCCAAGCTTCTCGGGTGTGGTTACGGCTGCCTTGCGTGAACGGTTTTTGTTGTTAGGGTTTGCATCAGGTTCCCTTCATAAGGTCTTACTCAAAAGTTGTATTCTGAGTGGTTTTTTCTTTCAAACTTTGTTGCAAGGTTCTTTTGAAAAAACAAACAAGGGCGCCTTCCCTTTAAAAGTTCTTACTCAAGAGTGGGATCCTGAACCCTCTTTTGTGCAAATCAAAGGGGTCCCCCTTTCCATTTTGAACCCAATACAAATAACGCAGTCCGAAGCAGTTCTGGCCAAAACCCGGGGGGGTCCCAATCATTAAGCCTTCCGAGGATTTTTCATTCTCGTGCACGCTTCTTCGCAACCTGCAATCGGTGAACCCGTAGCGCACTTTGGGTGGTTGGACCTTTACAAACTGTTTTAAGGTTTTGTCTTTTACGTTTTCCCGCTTTCGCAACCATCAAAAGGTGAACCCTCCACAGAATTTCGGTAGGTCGACCCTGTGAAAAACTTGTGGTTTCTACGACTTTCATTTCGCTCGTCAACAACTCGTGCTTTTACACGCATTTCAGTTGCGCAACCATGAACATGTCAACGAGGCTCTGCGGACTGTCGGCAGGTCGACCTTAAAAAGCTCCTGCGGTGTTCCTGGGGTTTTTACTTTCTTGGGCTGGAGAGAGAGAGGAAGAGAAAGAGACTGAGAAAGAGCAAGGAAGAGAAAGAGCAACAGAGAAACAGAAATAAAAATAAGCAGTGAAAGATACAGAGAAAAGGCAGGAGGAAGGGGCAGAGAGAGAGAGAGAGAGAACGGCAAAGACGAAGACCAAGAGAAAGTGAAAGAGAATCAGAGGAAGCGGAATGGGCAGGGAGAGAGAGAGAGAAGGAACGAGAAAGATAAAGTGAAACAGAAAGAGGAAGAGAGAAAGCGCAACAAAGCAAGAAAAAGAAAGAGAAAAGAGACAGAGAGAAGGAAGGAGAATAACAAAGGGATACAACATTTGCTCTAAACTATAGTTCTTATATATGTTTGAATCGTCCACCCTCTGGCTCCGCCGGCCTTGCTGGGAGCTAGGGCAGATGTGAATATGTTGTCAAGTCTCCCTCTAATTTCTACTCTTCCGATTAGATCTGGGCGTTTCTTTCAGGGACAGCTAGAATAAGTTTACAGTTGCCTACTTTAAGGGGCTCCAGCTCTGACCGTTGTGCTTTCGTCGTTTTTGTTTTTGCGTGCCAATTTACGGAAAATTGGGAGGGCTGGGTTGTGACTGTGAAGACCTGCCTTGCTGCCTCATGGCACGTGGGGCTGGACACCCGCTCGCCTGCCAGGACTTCCCAGCGTGCACGGCGGTGTGACGCGACGGTTGTATCGGGCGGCGTCAATCCAAAAGGTTGGGCAGGCAGCCCCCCACTTAGTGAGGGCGTTTCGACACCCGAGCTTCTCGCGTGAGGCACTCAGCTTTTGCATCTTGCCGTTTTAATGCAAGTGATCCAGGCAGCGCTTGAACGCTGCCAATTCTGAAACTCCGACAAGGGAGACGAGGGCCAATTGACAAGTTGACTCCAGGTGACAATCACCCTTTTGCTGACCAGCTGAAACAGGGGTTCCGACTGCTTTCTCCGAAGGCATGCTCAGAAAGCGGCCATCCGGCACAAAGTCTACATACCATCCGCAGCTCCAACAAGGAACGCTTCACGAGCCAGGTGAACCTGGCCCGGATCGACGCAAGTTTCTCGCAAGCCTTTTACGATGATCACTTATTCAGTGACCTCATATTCTCTAACCCACCCATTTTTCTCCCATCTGCCTCCAGACACTTTTTGGGACCTTCCAATCCAGATCCTTCACGTGACTCGCGCGTCAACTGGCCTTCGAAGTTCTGTACAGCTGGAGCCGGAAGTTCCGATTCGGAGCCTCCGCCGCAAGGGACCCCCAGCGGGCCAACTCCGGCGACGGGCTTTATTGAGCTTTGCCTAGGGCGAGGCCTTTGAACACAATACGTGTTCGGCCTGCCCCTACAGAAATTAGTTTCCTGAGAGCCTCAGGGTGTTGTTCAAAGTGCGAGCCTTGGCATGAGGGGGTTGTTGCCCTGAAGTGTGTTTGAGCCTTTGGTTACCCCGTTTAATTGAAAGTAAAGGACATCAGGTCCTTTCTTTTCGCCTGCAAGTACTTGCCAAGCTGTGGATGATGGTGATTCTGCCAGAATCTTTGGCCCAAGCACGTTAACACTCTTCTGGTGGCGTGTAGGCGCGTGGTGAGTGCCAAGGAGAGAGCATTAATCAGCTGGTACAGAATGAGAACCAAGCATAGTTCAAGTTCGTTAAGAAACAGCAGCGAACTGCTTGGATCATTTGTAGATTTGCGCTGCAGTCCAACATTTGCAGATAAGTTTGTGATGAGTGTTCTTTCCCCACCCCCGGCAAGCCGGTGATCGATTGACGCACGTTTTTTGCGTGCGAGGCCTTTGAGCGAATCCCACGATGTTGAGCTGGTTTTGTCCCAAAGTGACAAAGTGCCTGCACAAGCTATTTCGCTCTCAAGTATTTCTGGTTTGCGCCTGTTCGCCTCCCATACCCATACACTTGTCCTGCGCACTGCACTCATTTGGACACATTGCTGAAATCAAAAAGCATATGAGGGGCTGCCAATTCTTTTTGGTTGAATTTCAAGGGCAACAATAATCCATTTTGTAGTTGGCCTTATTCCAGGATTCCAGGAGGGTCATTGCTTCAGTTTCCGTGCGCAGGCCATGACTGCCAACCACATTCAGTGCCTTCACCTTGCTGAGAATGGGAGGCGGGGAAGGGATGATTTGATTGCCGTTTGATTAACGCATAGTTCAACATTCATGACTTGTGCAAGCGAGCTCGCGGGGTTGCGACCTCACCCGACTTGGGTTCCTTATTTGAGGTGTATGAGAATAGTGCAGATGCTGTACCGTCGTGAAGGGGATCACATATGACATGTAGCACACTTACCCCATTGCCATACAGGTTTCACAGCTCAGTGTCTCACTTGAGGGGCTTGGTTGAACGGCTTTGGCCTTTGTGCATAATTACCAGGAAAGTTCCCCCAAAAGAATCAAGCCTTTCGGGTATCCTAAGGGCCTAGTTTTATACATGAGCTTCTTGTAGCAACAGGCTGGCTTGCTGGCTTTGCCAGGTCGGACAGGTCGGACACCAGTTCTTGCCTTACGCAGGCCGCACAAGGGAAGCGGGCCAGGGGTCAAAGGATTGGTGAACATTTCGAGCTTGAATCGCTGGACTCGGCCTCAAACCGGTCAAGGTGAGTTGCGTTCCTGTGTTTCCTCGCAAACGAGTGGGTCAAAGATATATCCAAGTCGCCCAGAATCTCGCCTGCCGGCTTTTGCGTCGTGGATTTGGCTGGCTGAAGGCGTTCTGCAACCAAAGGCCTCGTAGAGGCGGGCAAAGGTAAACCCGCGTGAATCCCGCTTGGGTGCCTGTCTTCAACCTGTCTTCGACGGAAACACAGTCTGGATGTCCAAGGGAAAGTGACACCGAACACCCCAGTGCCTGTTTGGATTTACTGCTTGCATCGTCCAAAAACAGGCCCATGTCATAAGGGACACCCGCATAGTTTTCGTCCCGCTTTGCGCCCGTCGCATGACGGGCTTCAACGGGTTGCTCCATGACGTTGCAGCAAACACAAGTTCTACATGGTTCGCATGTTGTTAGACACATTTGGACACATTTAGACATGTCCATTGCCGGAGGTTGCGATTGCCTGCACTCTGCCAGACTGCTCCTTGGTGTCAAATCATTTGTTGATCATCACTACGGGGACTCCCTGCCTCGCTGCAACTACGTAGCGCTCACAGGTTTGCTGGGTTTCTTCGGCGCCCATTGTCAAGGCATTCCATGTCCAGAGTGTTCTAGTCGCGCTTCCAAGCCTAAGGCCGTTTCCTAATTGGGAACCGGGTCGCCTGATCTCTTGCCAGGAGCGCGAAAGTCTGCCCTGGCTGTTGGCAGAGGTGGGAATGGCCAAGCCCCAAAGGATCCAAGTGAACGCCCACTGGTGACTTTGGGGAGAACATGCGGGACCCCAATGTGGTCCTATTTTTCCACGAGCGGGGATTGCCCAATTGGTTGACTAGTAACATTGTCAGTTGCTTGTGTAGGTCCTATTCAGCCTGCCATCCTATGTGCGTGATTCCCCGGTTCCCCGAGCGCGATGGCTGTTCTGGCTTTGCCTCTTCTGGCATCCAAGTGTGTGTGTGTGTGTGTGTGTCTGCTGTTGCTTTGTTTCTTTCCTTTTTCTGAGGGCACCTTTTTGGGGGGGGGGGAAAACCATATTTTTTGGTGTGTGTGTGCTTTCCTATTTGAGACTCTCCCGTAGTGGGACACCAAGCGCGTGGCAGGATCCAGCAGCAAGCTTGGCTGCCTTGCGGCGAAAGGGAACCGCTGTTTTGGCCCTCACCTGGCAGGCGCTCGGTTTCCCTCGACAGACCTCAAAAGTCAATGGTCGCCCTGCGCCTGTCTGGCGAGCAATCTACATGAGAAGTTGGGCTTTAGCTTGCCAGGTACCAAAATTGCGGCCTTGAATGTGTCTCTGTGTGTGTGTCTATGTGTGCGTGTGCGTGTGTCTGTGTCCGTGTCTGTGTCTGTGTGTGTGTGTAAGGGTGCGTGTGTGGGTGCGTGTGTGTGTGGGTGTGTCTGTGTGTGTGTGAGTGTGTGTGTAAGGGTGCTGTGGGTGTGTGTCTGTGTCTTTGCGTGTTTGTTTTTTTAGGTGTGTGCGTGGGTTTGTTTGTGTATTTGTGTGAAGGGGGATGGCCCGAATTGGTATCGCAGATGCCACAGCCATGGCTGCTAAGCTGGGCTGACATGTTCCAAGGTGATGCTTTCTCAGCTTGTCTTCTTTCCGTTTCTGCACTCTGGGTTTTCTTGGTCATCCTGTGTTTTTCCTAAGCCTTGAAACTACTTGCAAGAATCCGTTTGACTATTCCTGGGCCCCCCAACCAAAGACGAACCGGCCGGGCCTTGGGAAAACAATGGCAAGCCAAAGGCCTGTCTCTATTTTGCAATGTGAACCCAATGTTATTCAGGTATAACCTCGTTTACAAGGTGTCCCCAAAAGGCAAAGAACCTCTTCCCAGGAGCAGAAGGAGAATCCGGTGATCCGCTGCGCAAGTCACGCAAGACATACTCTCGAAGCCAAGTGAGCATCTCAAAGAAATTAAACCATAGTGCAACGAAAGTGCGATGTTTGTCCTAGCTCTGTGCCGGACACTTCAACTTTCTACAGCTAGCTCTTTCTGCGCACGCCGGGATGCATCATGGTTGGCTAACTTGTTACGCAGCTCAGCTAGGACGGCAGAAGGCTAGGTTGCCAGTTAGCTGGTTAGTGAGTTAGCAACCTAACTAGCTAGCTATGAAGTTGGTAAGCGTGTTACTTAGTCAAGCGGCACGCAATGACAAGTTTGGTGGTTGACCCTGCCGAAGTCCGCCAATGGCTCAGTCACCACCAAATGCCATGTTGGCCAAGCCAAGCAACTGTGAGCGTCAGGGCGCCTCTTTCACGTTGCACAATGCTGAAGGTGAAGGAGATCGAATGAAACGGCGACGGTTTGGCAGAGGTTCCCAAGGCTACTGCGAAGAAAGCTTGTGCTGAAGCAACTGCTCCGCTTCCAGAGAGTTCCAGCTTAGCGAGCCCACCGCCTCCACCTCCTAAGCCGCCCGAGGTGCCAAAGACATAAAGCCGATGAGGAGTGCAGTATCGAGCACCATTGCTCCAGGGTGAGACGTGGATGCAAGAGATGTCGCCGTCATCAAGAGCATCCTTGACGCAGACACCGATGCGGCCACGAAGAATCTGAAAACTTTGTGGCTTTTCGGGAAGCCATCGAGAATACCATGAGAACGGGTCTCTTTGCTGCTGTGGTGAACAGTTTGAGTCTTGGAACCCGTGGCTTGCTCACTGCCTGTGACACTGCAATTGAGTGCGACGACGCCGTCGCAAGTGTTGTCCAACACGCCTCTTGGAGGCCTTTCCGAACATGATCTAGCCACCATTCTCGAGCCCCCTTTGTCTCAAATCCAAAGGTCAGTGGTAGACGGAATGATTCACAGGTGGATGTGAGAGCTGGCCACGCGTGCCAAAACTTCACATTATCTCTTACACATAGCCTATCCCCACTTATGGGCAGTAGTGAACTGCCCGGTCGGTCGTGCTTATTAACCAATGCGTCATCCTGTGAGTGTTACGGGTTTCTGAGACTCGCGATGTTAATAGGGCATACCGTAGCATACGTCAAAGGGGTGCGCTGCTTGTAGACAAGAGCTTGAAGGACGGCCCCTTCAAAGTCTGTAGAGAGTTCGCCGTTTGAAGGGCGAAGCCGTGGGCTGTACTAAAATGGTTTTACCACCAACCCCTCTCCCTGCTCAACACAGCTAGGTTTCGTGACTTCTGGACTCCGCGCTTCAGCGCTTTTCTATACTTGACTTTGGTTGCTTGTGCTTTCACACTGGCGCGAGCGGTTGTTGCGCGGCCTTTGTAAAGTTCTTCCAAGTTCTTTTGGTGCATTTGGGGTTGTTTATACTTTCTCGGGTGGGCT